TCAAGCTATCCAAAAAAGCTTTTAACTTACCTGGATCTTCACTTAGTAGCACAATGTCGTCTGTGTACTCTAGATCAGACAGCCTGCCACCTCTGAGTAAATCGATGCCGCTATCCTCGCACGAGGATAGCGCTGTTCCCATAATATAATATCTAACAAAGTTGGATAGAAAAGGAGAGAGACAGGACAACCCTATCGATCTCCACTATCTGTAGTGAACTCGGGTGATAAAGTACCGTAAGCTCGGACTCGGTTTTGGCTGTTATTGTAGAGGGACTGTAATATTGAAATAAGCTTCTCGGGCAAACCCTTCAGGGAAAGGCAGCGCCAGAGTTTAGAGCGTTTTGCTAATTCAGAAGCCAGTTTCACGTTGAGGAAAATAGAAATGGTGGTCTACGAAGTGTCTGTGTCCTAGGATTTGATGAAGAGTGAAGATCTGGTCGATACAACCTCGACCGGGTCTAAAAACAGTCTGGTTCTCAAGTGTGCACTCTTTACGAGTGGAAGACAATCGACGGAGTATGATGCCGGCGAGAAGTTTGGAGGCAATGTTAATTAAACTAATTCCTCTGGGGTTTCCACAAGAGGACCTGTCGCCCTTCGTGTAAATCGGTATGATTGCCGATTCACACCATTCAGTTGGAACGTGTTTCTTTTCCCACACTGAACCCAGGAGTTTTGTTAACTCCAAAACCGAGGCTAGACCTCCATCCTTAAGAATCAATGGGGACAGTCCATGGGGGTCGGAAGCCTTATACCTTTTGAGATAGCTAAATTTTCGGATAACCTCTATTTCCGGGTGTAGGGAGGTCTTGTGCTGACGAGGGCCAGCTGAACTAACCCTTGAAATGTTCTGCCCATCGATCTAGACGGCGTTGCTGAATGTGGATCATCTTGCCGTCGGAATCCTTAATTACCTTACTTACGCCTGCTTTCCTTGGACCTATACTCCTAATTAATCGGAAAAGATTGCGATAGCCGCAGCCTTCTCCATCTCTCTGCACTTTCCTACCCACTACTTCTCGCGGTCATTCCTCAGACTCTTGATGAGCTGGCATTTAAGGGATTTGCGCGCTTTGTCGTCGTTTGGATCCGAAGGAATGGCTTTGCGAGCGTCCAGCAGGGCAATCGAAGACGTTTTTTTATTTGATCGTGAGTCAGAATTTGCTGTTGTTTCCATTGACGTTTGGATCGCTTCCTTGATTGCCGTCCAGTACTCACTGAGTCCTCCGGCTAATGGTTGAGCTGAGAAACGATCTGATAGTTCCGCTTCGAAGACCGATCTGCAACCATTGCTGACATTGTATCTTGGGCATCCGTTTTCGGTGGCTTTTGTGCGTTTGTCTACTAGGCGTAGAGAGATCTCGCTCGTAGCAAAACATGGTCTGTGTCCACGGTTGTTGCCCAGTAGGAGCGGTAGTCTTCAATGGATCCTCGCCAGTGCATACGCGGATACGACGAACAACCTTCGTTGTCTCTTTTCTATCGTTACTATTTTGGTTTTTGCTCTTCCGAACTCGTTTCAGCGGTTCCCCTTCGACTGATCTTCTCGTCCATCTCGTTTTCAGGTGACCAGTCACCCTTATCAGGTTTCTGTACCCAGATGTCGGACTTATATCTTTCAATCTACTTTCTTCCCTAGGACTGCGAAATTGTGAAACACTTCCCATTTCCGTGTTCCCCAGCTCTTATAAACTTGCTCTTTTCAAAAGCAAGATTAACAAATTGGTTCTTACTTAAATGTTCCCCCACATACCTCTTACAGTATATTATTAATTATGGGGTTTACCCCTTTTGCTGTAAATCACTTCGTGTGTACTAAAAAGTTGTTAAGAAGTATATTCCCGTTACGACGGCTATCATGACCGTGATGGCCGCCAAGATATGTGAAAAACGTCCAACGCATGCGTTTATATCTTCGGCTTGATTAAGGATACCGTCTTGGGCGGCTTAAGAAGTAGGTCATGTAAGCTATGATAGAAAGCATATTTGACTGTACCTGGGATACGGTGTGTGCGAGCGTATGCAGAAATCACAAATAAGCACCGTTTGTTTTCTGCTTATTGATTTTACTGTTTCACTGCGTATAGACGACTGTCTATCGGGATCCAGTTCAAAAGTGAAGCCTCGGCCCTCGCGCCTAAGGGAATACTGAGGCCTGCTTGATCAGACGCTGATGCGACAGGAACCACAGGAAACGCGCAAATGACACGCTTTCTTCCAGTTGGAAGAAGACGTAAGTCGGGTTACTAAAATCGGACCATGAATGCGTGTTTTTGAGAGGCAGCACACATCAATCTCTGGCCTTTCGAGCCAAACCTGTTTGTTGTCCTATACGCATTAGAGATCTGACGTGTGACGAGGCCAATTTGAACACAATGAGGTCAGAGGACTGAAACGGTAGACTGCGAGTGATACAACACCGCTAAGGCAGATATCGAGACGGATAGCGGCGAGCTACAACATGAACGTACGCCAGTGGAAGCATTCAAAGTAGAGTGTACAGCGGATAATGAC